CCACACGTCCATGTGTAGGGTCTGCAGGGGAGCAGTCGTCGGGGGAAACGAGGAGGAGTGAGGAGCGGCGCGCTGCCGCCCCTCGACACAGGGAAGACAGGGAGGAGCAGGCGAGGGTGGGAGGGGAGGGAGAACCCTGGGAAGACCAGAGACAAGGACACGTCGGTGCATGCCACGGAGGCGCTGCACCGAGGGGTGACCAAGACGGTGGTGCCAAAGGACGGTCTGGTGCGACAAAGCGCGACACGAGCAGGGGGCCGCTAGCTGACCTGACGCAAACGCAGACGCAGACGCAGCTACCTGAGGGGACACAGTAGTCAGTGTGTACAGACTCGAGCCAGGCGCTCGGGTGAACGTGGCAATGTGCCGACCAGTCCGGGAGCACGTACAGTGGGTCACACGCTGACCTCCAGGGGTGAACTGGTTAACCCACTCATCCTGGAGGTCAGCTCCACTCACCAAGTTCGTAGAGAACGAGGGGAGGTGGAGACCCGACAGTGAGCCAGACGGAACAGCCGGACACGGCAGGACCGTGGAGGAGTGCGCAAGGACGGGGCCCCCAGAGGGGTCCGCCAGGGAGACTGCGACTGGCCGACTGAGCGGCGTGAGTGTGGTGCTGTCGCGAAAGAAGGAGCAGGAAGCACCTGAGTCAAGTGTGAAGGTGTGCAAGGCCTCAGCAGGCGCAGTACCAGAGAGGGCAGACTCACCAGCACCTGGAGCAGCAGACTCACTAGCACCTAGACCAACAGCCTCACCAACACCTAGAGCAGTAGACTCTATACTTGGGTCGGGCGGCACACACAGGTAACAGTCACCCTTAGCACTAACAGTCAATGCATACATGGCAGATAGGATAGCATCAAAGTCTAGACCAAAGATATCAACATTCTGCCTAAGCAGCTCCGCCCAGTCGGGGAGCTCAGGTGCATCAGGAAACTCTGCACGAAAGGCGTCGGTAAGGCGGTAGAAGCAGCGGCGCTGAGTGTGAGGCCTCCCGCATGTCTGACCAGTGTGGTCACCTGTGCGAATGACATACGGGCAGGAACCACTAACCCCAGCCGCCCCACGCTGAGTAAACCACTCACGGAGCTCCTGAGACGAAAGGGGCTGACGCTGCTGCTGCCTCTGGCCACCTCCAAGGCCTCCCCTCTGACTGGTACCTCCCCGGCCGCCACCACTGCCACCGCCTCCACTCCCACTGCCGCCACCACTGCCGCCCCCACTACCGCCACTGCCGCCACCGCCGCCACCGCCGCCGCCACCTGCACCTCCACCCCCACCACCACTCCCTCCGCCACCGCCGCCCCCTCCACCGCCTCCACCGCCCCCACCACCGCCGCCACCTCTGCCGCCCCCACCGCCCCTACCTCCCCCGCCTCCCCTGCTCCTGCGGCGCCTCCCACTAGGGGCAGACGCAGCTCCTACCTCCTCAGCACAAAGGTAGTCAACAGCTGCAGCAGAGGCGACTGAGGGGAGAAAGGGGGAGGGCGAACACCCCTCAAGGAAGGGGGTGCGAGGAGTGCCACGAGAAGCGCCTACAGTGACTATGCTAGTCTCAGCTGCGAGGAGGTGCTTCTCGAGCAGGTCGACAGTGAGGTCGGTGGGGTCAAGTGCTAGGAGGAGGTCCCTGACTGCAGTGAGAGAGTCTGGGAGGCGGGTGACTATGAAGTAGAGCGTGATGTACATGGGGGGGGGGTTCTTGGTGAGAAACTCGGCGGGGAGCGCAGCACGGTAGCGAGTGTCACTAGTGCGGAGGTGAGTGACTAGGTCGGCTACTGTGGCAAAGGTGGACAGCTCTGGGAACAGGTAGGGCAGGAGAAGGCGGCCTAGAGCAGCAGTGGCCTGGGAGGAGTAACGAGCGACTACAGCGTCGTACAGTGCTTTCGCTGTCTTATGCTGGCCAAAGTGGGCGCGTTCGGCTAACGGCAGGTGGTTGCGAACGGCTAGGCGAGCAGCAGCGTCACGGGTAAGCCACTGTGAGCGGGTCGCACTGTCAGCTGTGGCGGCAGGGGCGGGCGAGGCGCCAGAAGTGAGGTCAAACAGCGAGGTACCGTCCTTAGAGTCCGTCAGCAGGAACAGCTGTAAATCGTCTAGCCATGCATTGAACTCTATCGGGCGGCCCTCCGAATCGAAGGTGAGAACGTTTAGAGTGGCCATAGTAGGCAGAGCAGTCAGGCAGAGCAGCACGCTAGCAGCAGTGCAGCAGGGAGCGCGCTAGCAGCAGTGCAGCAGTGAATGGCGCACGGTAGGGCAGGGTGCGCACGGCAGGGCAGGGCGCGCGGCAGGGCAGGGCGCGGCGCTCAGTGCAGAGCGCGCGGCGGCGCGGCGCGCGGGCAGGGCAGGGCGCGCGGCGGCGCGGCGCGCGGGCAGGGCAGGGCGCGCAGCGGCGCGGCGCGCGGGCAGGGCAGGGCGCGCGGCGGCGCGGCGCGCGGGCAGGGCAGGGCGCGCGGCGGCGCGGCGCGCGGGCAGGGCAGGGCTTGCGGCGGCGCGGCGCTCGGGCAGGGCAGGGCGCGCGGCGGCGCGGCGCGCGGGCAGGGCAGGGCGCGCGGCGGCGCGGCGTGCGAGCAGGGCAGAGCACGCGGCAGCGCGGCGCGCGGGCAGGGCAGGGCGCGCGGCGGCGCGGCGCGCGGGCAGGACAGGGCGCGCGGCGGCGCGGGGCGCGGGCAGGGCAGGGCGCGCGGCGGCGCGGCGCGCGGGCAGGGCAGGGCGCACGGCGCGGGCAGCGCGAGGGCAGGGCGCGCGAGGCGGCGCGACGCGCGGGCAGGGCAGAGCGCGCTGCAGCAGGTGGCGCGCGACTCAGCAGGGTGCGCTGCAGCAAGCGGCGCGCTAGCAAAGCAGTGCGCGCTGCTGCGGGCGGGCAGGGCAGGGCAGGGCAGGGCAGGGCAGGGCAGTACGACGTGATCACACTGGCGCGACGGGTGGGGTAGCGCTACTCGGTGGGCCCTAAGAGATCGGTCCTAGGCTAGGACCTGCTCTGAAACCATGTTACAAGAATGAACAGGAATGAATGAACTAGCAAGCAGGTGGGTACAAGTAGGAAACCCTAATTGGGTTGTACCCCATATGGGCTACCCCACTACAGCCTACACAAGCTATAGCATATGAGTGTAACGCGATAGTGGTGAGAGTGTATCATCTGTACGAACAGGTGCGCTATTGCCATAACTTAGGAATGCTCAAATAGCCTTTCGGCTGTTCCAACTGCGAAGGGCAAAGCAACATGAAAAGAAGAAAACAACAATGTTCCTCAACGAGCATCACGATGGTCATGCGGCTACGCTTCTCCGCCGACAGCACCCTGTCTATTCATCCTGATCTTCGCACGTTGTGGCTCATTGGGAACCATATCGCTCACCTTATCCACTCCCCACCTCCAATCATAGATTCCCTGCATGTTGTATGGATTTCATGTACATATGTTTGAACCATAATATTGTCAGACTGTAATATTCTTATATAATTGCATGTTTAGTTAGTTAGTGTAGTATCACATATCTTGTCTTAGGTGGTCTACCTCCCTTCACCGCCTCCCTCGTTTCCTATAAGTTGTATTGCATTCTATAGTGCAAGCCCTCTCCTTTGGCCACCTCTCTCTTCCTAAACCCTAGCTTCTTAGCTACTATTCTAACATGCTATCAGAGCAGTAAAACGATCTAAGGACCTAAATTTTTTTTTTTTTCTTAAGTAACATGGGCCCGCCCACTGAAGCGCGAAATGCGCCTTTTTTTTTTTCGTCCCGTCGCGCCCTGCGCCCGTCGCGCTCGTCGCCCTGCGCTCTGCCCGTTCTGCCCGTCGCGTCCCCCGCGTCGCCCCGAGCTGTTTCGTCGACCCGCGGCCCTCGTGTCGCCCCGCGCCGTTTCGTCGCCACGAGGTCCGCACGTCGCCCCGCGCCCTTTCGTCGACCCGCGGCCCGCACGTCGCCCTCGCGGACGCCAACGCCAGGCGCCAGCGCGAGCGCCAGCGCCCGACGTGGACGCCAGCGCCAGCGCGGAGCGCAAGCGCCAGCGCCAACGCCAACGCATGCGCCCAGCGCCAGCGCCAACGCCAGCGCCAGGCGCCAGCGCCCGTCGTCAGTGGGGACGCCAGCGCCAGGCGCCTTCACGAGCGCCAGCAGCGGCTCACGCCGCCCCCCCTGCCCTCCCTTCCGCGGCTTCCGCCGTGGGGGGGGGGGGGATGTGGGGGTGGCAGGTGTGAGCAGCCAGCAACCCGTCCCTCCCTTGCCTCTACCTCTCTCCCTGCAGCACTTGTTGCTGTGGGGGGGGGTGGGGGAAGAGAGAGGTTAAGGGGGGATGAGAGAGGTTAAGGGGGGATGAAAGAGAGAGAGAGAGAGGTTCGCATTTTCTGGTTTCCTTGTCTATTCTCTATCCGTCATATCTGGGCGCCGTCGTTCCTCGTCGCGCGCACACACCGGGCATCCACTGCGGGGGTTAAACCTATCTTGTCTTAGGTGGTCTACCTCCCTTCACCGCCTCCCTCGTTTCCTATAAGTTGTATTGCATTCTATAGTGCAAGCCCTCTCCTTTGGCCACCTCTCTCTTCCTAAACCCTAGCTTCTTAGCTACTATTCTAACAAATATAACCATAACCTTAAAGCCCAAGACCTGAATTACAAGAAAAAAACGGCAAATTGTGCACAGTTTGCCTACCGAACCCACAGTTGACCTCCCGAGCCAGGCTGGTTACCAGAAAAGATCGCATAAAAAAAACACTGAGTTGTTCAGCAGAGCAGGGGAGGTTGGCGAGAGTCCCAACAACACACTCCACAAGGAACAACCGCTCAAAGTGTGCACAGTTTGCGTACATGGTAATTCAGGCCGTGCTTGTACTCATAGTACTCTTAGATTGTTCCAAGAGATAGGATAAAACGCCAATATAGCATAGGCCACGAGCACTTCCACCTTCATTACGGGACCCTTAGAACTCCAGGCGTATCTATCCTACGGCCAAAATAGAAACCCCGACGGGATTGGTGGTCGTAGCTTATCGGCATTACAACAACTATGTTAGTGGCGTATCACGTTTTCTCACTCGCTCGCCCTGGCATCGCAACCCCGCGGACATCGCATTTGGCCCAATCGCCTTCCGCGTTCCCCACGCACACCCACACACCCCCCCACGCACACCCACGCGAACCCTCACCGTCGCCCAAGCTCTTCCCCACCGCCGCGAACGCTTCGTCCTGCCTTCACCCACGCTTCCCCACATCGTCGCTCACGCCTTCCCCCACCTTCCCTCACGGTGGGAAGCTCATCGCCCACGCTTCCCCCCACCGTCGCCCACGCTTCCTCCCACCGTCGCCCACGCTTCCCCCCACCGTCGCCCACGCTTCCCCCCACCGTCGCCCACGGTTCCTCTCACCGTCGCCCACGCTTCCCCCCTCTGTCGCCCACGCTTCCCCCCACCGTAGCCCACGGTTCCTCTCACCGTCGCCCACGCTTTCCCCCACCGTCGCCCACGCTTCCCCCCACCGTCGCCCACGGTTCCCCCCACCGTCGCCCACGCTTCCTCCCACCGTCGCCCACGCTTCCCCCCACCGTCGCCCACGCTTCCCCCCACCGTCGCCCACACTTCCTCTCACTGTCGCCCACGCTTCCCCCCACCGTAGCCCACGGTTCCTCTCACCGTCGCCCACGGTTCCTCTCACCGTCGCCCACGCTTCCCCCCACTGTCGCCCACACTTCCCCCCACCGTCGCCCACGCTTCCCCCCACCGTCGCCCACAGTTCCTCTCACCGTCGCCCACGCTTCCCCCCACCGTCGCCCACGCTTCCCCCCACCGTCGCCCACGGTTCCTCTCACCGTCGCCCTCGCTTCCCCCCACTGTCGCCCACGCTTCCCCCCACCGTCGCCCACGGTTCCTCTCACCGTCGCCCACGCTTCCCCCCACCGTCGCCCACGCTTCCCCCCACGGTCGCCCACGCTTCTTCCCACCGTCGCCCACGCTTCCCCCCACCGTCGCCCACGCTTCCCCCCACCGTCGCCCACGCTTCCCCCCACCGTCGCCCACGCTTCCCCCCACCGTCGCCCACGCTTCCTCTCACCGTCGCCCACGCTTCCCCCCGCTGTCGCCCACGCTTCCCCCCACCGTCGCCCACGGTTCCTCTCACCGTCGCCTACGCTTCCCCCCACCGTCGCCCACGCTTCCCCCCACCGTCGCCCACGCTTCCCCACACCGTCGCCCACGCTTCCCCTCCCATCGTCCTCCCTGTCGCCTGGAAATTTCCCTCCCCGCCGACCTCCCTTCCCTCCCACCTCTCTCCACGTCGTCATCACTCCCCTGCCTATCACGTTCCCCCTCTTCATCACCATCGCTTCTCCACCCACGCCGCCCACCCTCTCATCCGTGCCTATCGTCTTTAGGTCCGTCGTTGCTTCCCTTCCCATTGCCGCATTTGGTCGCTCTCGCTCTCCCCATTGCCACCTTCTCTACTCCTTCCACCCCACCCTTGCACCCTCCTTTCCTTCTCTCTCATTCTCCCTCCCCCCCTGCCTCGCACCCACCCTGGCCGCGGACGTATGGCTGGCCGGTCTCGAGCGCTGGGGATGGGGTCGTGACTCGTTCGCGGTGGGATGTGGGAGGGTGCGTGGTCAGCAGCACCCACCCTTCTCTCTCTTGTATGTTCGCCGCGAGTTTTACGGAGCAGCTCCTACTAAACCTGCATTTCGACACCTAATCTCATCGCACGCCGTACACTATCTCTGCGCTTCACACTCTCATTCCGCGCCACACACCCTCGTATCGCGCATCTGATCCCTCTCGAGTCAACGCCTGCCTTACAGGTGCTGAAGCTTGTGCCTAAGTAGTTCTGGTTTGCATCCTAAGTTTCTCAAACTGTGCACAGTTTGGTATGCATCTTGGTGGTGTTCGCCAGCACCTTTGAAAGCAAAATCGACAGGATCAGGAAGGTCAGTCACGCCTTCCTGATCCCGTCAGTTAGGGTTCGTTAAGCTCCGTCAGCTTGGTCAGCCCGTAAAAAGGCTGCCGAGCCTCTCATGTCGTCCGAACCAAAAAACAAATTGAGGGCCTGGCGAACGCCCCCAAACTAATCCCATTTCGAACTGCACGACGGCATATGGAAGCGGGGACGCAAATTCGTCCCCGGGCAAAAATCCCTCCCCACGCTATGCCATCGCCATCCCCCCTTTCACGGAGGACAGCGATGGCATACAGATGGCATCCCCCCTTTCACGCCAGTGGACGGAAGGTGGGGATGGAGGTTCCCGATGCGGTTGCGTCATTTCCCATTTCAGAATGGGAAATTTCTCGAGTGGCATTACGCCCAAACCTCTTCCATGGGTTCCGCCCCCGTTTCCTGATGCGATCGCCATTCCGATGCCGTCGTTTTTCTTTCATTTTTTCGTGTGCTGGCGAACGCCGCCCTTGTATTCTGGTTGTTGCGGGAAGGACCCCACGCATCACTCGTTTTCTTTGAAACGACACAGTTTTCTCGCAAACTGGTTTCGCGAGTGCGAGAGGTTCCGCAACCCAACCGAACCTCCGATTGCCTTCCTCCAAACCTAAAAAACTTTGGGTTGACTTCCGTTGAGTAATTCAGGTCATGGGCTTTAACTATTGACTCCTTAGAGAAATCCTCGTTTGCTCGCTACATTGCACCCGTAAGGGGGATTATTGGTGTACCGGACAAGACGGATGTCCTTCGACCAAATTACACCCTGTTTCTCGCTATTGTGAATTCCGGTATACTGAACCCTCTGGCTCAACGCGCCAAATTACGCGCTATAGTCAACTTTTGCACCAGTTCGGTTTGACGAGGTCAGCTACCTTTGAAGACGGTCAGTTGAACTTTTAATATGGCTCGGTAGGGTACCCAGGTTAACGAAATTTCGGATCACCCGCCTCCTAGAGACGGTTATTGTAAACTTTTCGAATAAGTCCAACGAACAGTTCCACTGTTCAGTGTGTTTCCGCAGTTCAGTGTACAAGAGGTGTGTATTGGATGGAAGGTTGCCTACGTTCCAAATCACCTTCACTGGAGCGGTGAACCGCAACAGTCCTCTCTTCGTTTGCGCGTGATGTGTTACGCCGCATTGTGCCTGTGAACAGTTTTGTTGTGCCTGCCGCAATCCAGCAGGCTGACATCAGCTGCTTCTCACCACCTCGACTTGGCGCGGCGTTTTGCGTCGTTTTTCACGGTTGAGGTTGGGAGATAATCTGACGCGACGCGAACCAACAAGAGTGCATGCCAAGCCTCCCTCTCCATCCCACACGAGCGATCTGCTTCTCTCTGCATCAGCAGAATAGAGGCCAGAATTCATCATGGCCCACACCCAGCCAAACCTCGTGCCAGCGCAGCATTCGTATCCGCAGCGTCAGCTCTACGAACAAGACACGGATAGCACGTGACTGGTTTGTCTCTTCAAACCTTGTCCCAACCAGCCCAAACATTTGAGAATCCCGTTCTCTCGCAACCACCCAAATCCGCAACCAACCGAGGCACGATGAAGGCGCCGTTATCCAGACAGCTGCATCACTCGCTCGCTGCCGCTGCTCCCACACATCCACCCACCCCACCCACCTCTTTGCAGTGCTGCTTTGCTTAGGCAGTTGGTCCCTTTGGTCCACCACTAGCCTCCTCTGGTCTGGAAGTTATGCCTCGGTTCCTGTGACCTGTCTGCTTTTCACTCTGCTTTGAGTTGTCAAACGCCATTGTTTCAAGTGCAACTCCGTAAAAATCAAGCTTGCAGTCGTCCACCCTGACCTGGCACTCAACGTCCTCCATTTCCCATAACCAGGACAAGGTTACAGTATCAGTTATCCCAAGCCCAACACGCACTGAAACTCATCGTCTGCTCTCTCGGAAAATGTCACCATCGTAACCGCAACCTCTCCCTCCTTTTCCAGCTCATCAAGCTTGACTCCTCAAGGCAGTAATACACGTCGAATAGCTTCCAAACCAAACCAAACACCAATAACAAACTACCCGACAATAAACATCGTCCGCGTGGCATCATGGTGAGCCTTCGGCAGATGTTTTCGTCGAAGAAGTCACAGGCGCTGCTCGTGCTGCTGCCCGATGGCTCAATGAAGATGTACACCAAGAAGATGACCGTTAAAGACTTACTCCTCGAGTTTCCCGCCTTCACCGTCGCGCTCGACCCCGCGCCCGCGCCCGCGCTCGACGACGAAACCGTTCTCGCCGCCGGCGGTACCTATTATCTTAATCCTTTAGACGGCGAACCGCCCGATGCAGACGCCGCGGGTAACGAGCGCCCAGCCCTTCCGCCGCGGAGCGCAAGCTGCGACCAGGGCGGCGGGTCGGCGGGGCAGCAGGCCGCGCGGGAAGTGGGGGGAGTGCCTTCGCGGACCGTTTCCGCCGCCGCTGCTCTCGCGCGCGTGGATGTCGCCCCGGAGGAAGCCGCTGCGCCGGCGTCGGAAACCGCTTCTCCGTCAGCGCGCGCAAAGCCGAAGGAAACGGACAGCTATGCTGACGTGGATGACGAGCTGCTCGCGTACCTGGTAAGTGACGAATCGCCCGTCAGTAGTCGTTGCTCGTCGTTAATTGCGCGTGCGGCGCTTGTTGCGTGAGATAGTCTCGCGGTAGAGGTGCGATGTGGAGCGCTGGGTGGATGGTGCACCACGGTACTGAGAGAATTACTACATCTGTTCGTTCAGCGACACAATACAGGCCTTTTGTTTGTACTGGATACGTGCGCTCATAACAGCAAAATACTTGCAGCTTAGAGATTGTCCGGGGCTCGTGTGTGTCTTGGGAGTGAGGCCGATGTGATTGGCGAGCTTCCTTGTATTTACCCACGCGCTTCTCCGTGCAGTAGGCTTCTCTAGAGCCATGCGCAACTAAGTTACGATGCACGCACTTGCTTATCCCCTGGGACCTCCGCCTCCTCCGTGCGCCATGCCTCTCATCATCCCCCCCCTCTCGAACCTTTCAGGATATGGGCGACACGCCAGCAGCGCCACCCGCCCCTCCCGCTACGCGCCACATCACCAAATTCGGACAAGAGGACGCGTCGCTCTTTTCCGACACCGGCAGCTCCCGCGGGGGTAGTGCGCGGGGTTCCCCTGCTGTCGGGGGAAATTCCCCTTCTGGTTTCGGCGGGCCTGTGCTCTCGGGTATGAACGCTCTGGGCGGGTCGGTTGGTGGGGGTTCACCAATGGGTGGCGTAATGGCGCGGAGATCGATGGGCATGGAGTATGGTGGGGGTTATCAACAGCAACAGCTGCAGCATCAGCTGCAGCAGCAGCAGTGCTACCAGCAGTCACCATCCAGGTCTACAGCAGCAGCAGGTGCGGCCTGTTACGGCGGTATTCTAGGCCGCACTGCCATGATGACAATGAATTCGGGAACGAGTCCGAGTCACAGTGCGAGTGGTAGTGCTGGTGGTGGTGGTAACAGTGGTAACCTTCTCTTTGGAGGGCACATGGGAGCCAACATGGCACCACCGCCTGCAGGCAGTAATATGATGGGGGGAGCTTCTGCTGCTGCTGCTGCGGTGGCGGCGGCGGCTGCGAGTGGCAACATGGGCATGGGGGGAGGGCAATACAGAAGGCCAGGGCCAAAGATGATGGGAGTGATGGGTGGGGTAGCGCTTGAGTCTCCTGCCACGCATCTAGATCGCAACGACAGCTATTCGAGTGCTGGGTCAGGGGGAGGTTCAGGAACGTTCACCGTGTGGTGAAGTATGTCAGTTGTTGGGAGGACGCTGAGAGCCGGGCCGGGTAGTGGAGACTTGGAATGTTGGGAGGCGTTGTAGACTCGCTCTGTTGGCTGTTTTTGCTGCTGGCCAACACGAAAATGCAGGTGTTTGCATGTTCTAGCTCCATGCTGTGGTGCTCACTTGCTTTTTGTGGACTAGTCTGATGGACCTTGTATATTTCGTAGGATGTGCGCTTTGCTCTAATTCGCTGTTAGTATCTGGTTCAAATTGGTTCTTCACCTATAAGAAAGCAGCCCACTGCTTACATGCTTACCGGTGTTTACGAATGGTTACTGCACTACCCTTTTTTCACCAACGGAAATTAGCAGCAGCTGACTGAAGAGTGTATTACTGTTACGAGTGCAATTGAGGGAACGAGCGAGAATTGCACTATCGAAGCAAGAGTTCAATGAGCGAAGGCATGAGCGAAGAATATATAGCGAAACTACAGTGGTAACGGTAAAGTGGGAAATTGAGGTGCGCTACGGGCCTAGCGCCGAGGTTTGGATAATTGTCGAGGCGGAGGTCCGGAGCGCGGGTTACCAACCGAACCGTTGGGTTGGGTCGCGTCGTGAACAGTGGCGGGAGTCGTGGTCGAGGCGAGTGTCGTGAACGGGTAACGTGCATGGATGGGTGCTGATGGCGGGAACGGTTATGTACGCGGTAAGCAGGGACGCGAAGTAAGGAAAATGAATTTTCCTTACACTACCCCCCTCCCCAAGGGGGCCCCTCTTACGAGAGCGCGTGTACATCTCGGAAGTTTCGGCTGCGCAGGTACTCAGTGAGGACAGGGTGATTCTCAATTCTATCCAAGGGGACCCAGTTGTCTTCGGTGGGCGTGCGGTCTTTCCAGCGGATCAGGAATTCGATTCTGCGGGCTCCCCGTGGGTCACGTACTCGATGGCTCAGTATTTTCTCAGGCGTGATGATTGGCTCAGTCGGCGGTCGTGTCATGCTGGCGGGGCAGTTGCGAGGCAGTTGGCTGGTGGATGGCACGTATGGGCGAAGCAGGCTGACGTGGAATGACGGGCTGACGTACCAGTCAGCAGGGAGGAGGAGATGGGCGGTGACGGGTATGATCATGTGGCTGATGCGAAATGGCCCGCAATATCGGGGGCGGAGTTTTGGGGTGATGGGCAGGCGGAGGTTTTGAGTGTCGAGTAGAACTAGGTCGTCTGGCTGGTAAGTGACAGGTCGGCGGTGGCGGTCAGCGTTGCGTTTAGCGATGATGTTTGATTTTTTTATTGCTTCGGCTGCTCGGGTCCGTGCTGCTTGCAGTATTTCTGCGAACTGTTGCGCGCGTGGGACTGGGTTGTCGGGATTCGGGGTCATGGGTACTGTGGGGTCTTGTCCGTAGTTCAGGTAAAACGGTGACTGTTGGGTCGTGGCGGATGGCGAGTTGTTGTATGCGAATTCGATGAGTGGCAGTTGCTGTTCCCACATGGTCGGGTCGTCGCACGTGGCCCGGATGAGCTGTTCCATGGTCTGATTGGTCCGTTCTGTTTGTCCGTCGGTTTCGGGGTGGTATGATGAGCTGAACTGTAGTCGCGTGCCGAACTGCTGCCACAGGTTCCGCCAGAAGTTGCTGGTGAATTTCGTGTCGCGGTCGCTGATGATCGCTGTTGGTATCCCGTGTAATCGAACGATGGTGGCGATGAAGAGGCGAGCTGTTTCTTCGGCTGTGATTGATTTCTTGCATGCTGCGAAGTGTGCCATTTTCGTCAGCCGATCGACGACGACCAAGATCGCGTCGTTCCCACTTGCTCCAGCCGGTAACCCCGTGACGAAGTCCATCGTCACCTGCTGCCAAGCACGCTCTGGGGGTGGTATCGGCTGCAACTGTCCTGCCGGTCGTTGTCGTGACGACTTCATGAGCTGGCAGGTGGGACATGATGCCACGTGTCGTTGCACGTCGGTCAGCATCTCGGGCCAATAGTAATACCGCTGCAGCTGCTGCCGTGTTTTCTCTACCCCGAAATGTCCCGAGGTAACTCCGTCGTGTGCCTCCTGTAACAGTAATTCCCGTAGCAGTGCGTACCCTGGTACCCAGATGCGGTCGGTCCCGGCTTTTACGTAATAGACTCCCTTGGCTGCTGCGAACTGCTGCGAATTTCCTCCTGTGAAGAATGGGTCCGTTTGGTACCCGTGGGTAAATAGTCCTGTCCGTAGCGGGCTGGTCTGGGCGAGTAGTATCGCGTGGATTTGGGCAGTGGGGCGGGTCAGTGCGTCAGCGATGTTGGATGCTCCCTTTTTGTAGGTGACCGTGTAGTGGAAGTTTGACTCGAGGAAATCGAGCCAGCGGATCTGTCGTGGGTTGAGGTGGGGCTGTGCGTGGAGGTACTGTAGGGATCGATGGTCTGTCCGTACTGTCACGTCTGCGCCGGTCAAGTAACAGCGCCAGACCTTGAACGCATGCACGATTGCGAGCATTTCGCGGTCGTGTATCGGGTAATTTTTCTCGGGCGGATGCAGCTTTCGTGACTCGTACGCGATGGGCTGTAGGCCGTTGCCGAAATCCTGTAGCAGTATGGCTCCAATGGCGATGTCGCTGGCGTCGGTTACGACTTCGAAGGGGCGGTGTGGGTCAGCGATGTTAGAATCTAGAATAGAACGAGAATGCATGAAACTAGGTAGGAGGGGGATACAAGTAGGAAACCCTAACAAAGCTGTACCCCCTAAGGCTAAACCCACTATAGCCTACACAATATAAACATATAATGTTTGACACACCCCCATAGGCTAAGTGGGAGACAACCAGATGGTCACAAGACCAGTCAAAGCAAAGCAAAGCAAGCTCAGGGTGGATCTCAAGGAAACCACACAAATTCTGAGCACAAGCAAGTGGTCACAAGACCAGTTCACATGCAAGTTGATAGTATAAAAAGAGATACAGTGATCACAACCTAGCAAGAGTAAACAAGCAGGTATATATACAGAGATCACAGTACAAGCAGAGTCAAGAAGTAAGCAAGTGAGGCCCAGTAGGCACGAGGCCTAGAACAGTACAGAAGCGCTGATGGTCACAAGGCTGAAGCGCCTTGGTGAACACATCAGCAGTGTTGGCCCGAGTGGCCACGTAACGCAGACGAAGCTGACCGCGCTGCTGCAGCTCTCGAGCAAGGAAGTAGCGCAGAGCGATATGCTTCGTTCTGTGCTCCAGTCTGTGCTCCTGACACAAGGCAATGGCAGCCTTGTTGTCGACGTACAGCACTGGAGGAGAACGAGGCCGCTCTCCCAAGTCGGTCAGCAGGTAGGTGAGCCAGCGTAACTCCTGTGCAGCCATGGCTGTGGCGTAGATCTCAGCCTCACAGCTGGAGCTGAGAACAGAAGACGAGCGTGTAGAACGCCAAGAAACTGAACCAGAGCCAAGGCTGAAGGTGTAACCCTGAGACGACCGCTGAGTAGCCTGGTCGTCAGCCCAAGACGCGTCTGAGTGCCCAGTGAGTACAACTCGGTCTCGTCCTCCAAGCACTAGCCCCATGCCCGACGTACTGCACAAGTAGCGCAACACCCTCTTAGCGGCATCCATGTGCTCCTTCCGGTGACGGCCAGGAGCGACATAGCGTGCAAGGATGCTAAGAGGGTATGCAAGGTCAGGTCGAGTGCAGGTCATCAGGTACATGAGGCAGCCCACAAGCTCTGGATACGGGCCACTCGGCTCTACGGACTCATCCGAAGGCAGAGCTGAGAGCGAGTGACCGGTAGGCAGAGGAGTGGGCTGAGGCGAGGAGTACGTGAAGCGGAAGCGCTGAAGGACCTGCTGCACCATGTGTGACTGAGTCAAGGTGATGGTGCGCCGTGCTCTGTCCCGGGTGATCCGCAAGCCAAGATAGCTTGTCAGTTCACCCAGGTCTGTGCACGTGTGTCTCTTCTGCAGCTCCGACTTCACGTGGGCGAGTGCCGCAGTGGCAAAGACCAAGTCGTCGACGTACACGAGGATGTAGAACGGCGGCAGCGAGGTGTCGGTGCGTAGAAACAGCGACGGGTCAGCAGTAGAAGGAGCGAACCCAAGAGCCGCAAGTGTAGTCCTCAGTGTGTCGTGCCACTCACGTGGCGCCTGTCGGAGACCGTAGACTGGCCGCCGGAGGCTCCACTGGGTACCAGGAGGGAACGACCCAGTGAAGCCAGGTGGGCGGCGCAGCCAGATCTCCTCGTGAAGGCTGCCCTGTAGGAAAGCAGTGCTGAAGTCAAGAGAGTGGAGCTCGTAGCACGCTGAGCGGCGACGTGCAGCAGAACCCGAAGAGTGGTCATCTTCGGGGTCGGGGAGAAGGTCTGGAAGAAGTCAACTCCCTCTCGCTGACTGAAGCCTCGTGCAACGTAACGCGCCTTGAAGACAGGCGGAGAACCCGGCGGCCGCTTCACCCTGAAAATCCACATGCCACTGACGATGTTCGCCCCAAGTGGGGGAACCTCGTCGACGTAGGTGCCTGTGGACTTCCAGGAAGCCATCTCTGCGTCCATGGCTGTCTGCCACTGAGAGGAGTAGGGACCGTCTATCGCCTCTGCGTAAGAGCGCGGAGTCGGGATGTCTGGTGCATCCGGGTCTCCCTCAGGGGCAACTAGCATGGACACGAGATGAGGTAAAGCAGCGGCAAAGCACTCAAACTCCTCCTGCCTGTCCTCAAGGACGTCCGTGCCAAGAGCACACTCACCCCCGACGGACGGAGGACAGACAGACTCAGACTCAGCAACTAGGCTAGCGGCGTAGTCTAGACGACAAGTGGCAGCAAAGTCGACAAGCTCGGCAACTAAGGCAGACGCAGCAGTGGACTCAAAGGAAGGGTCAGTGACAACAGTAGCCAGGAGACGCGTGACAGTAGGACTGGCAGCACGAAGGGAGTCAGACTCAGGGTCAGCAAGAGCAGGAAGAGAGGACACAGGAGGAGACGGGAGAGGGACACGCTGGGGAGCAGTGGAAGGACGAAGCGCCATCTGGTGAGTGCCTGGGACAGCAGGAGGACGCTGACGCGGGACACGACGAC